CTCACTCGCGAGGAGTCGCGTAAAGTTTGTTAAGTGAGGAGAGGTGTGGGCAGGGTGACCGCCCCTTCCCTTCCTCCCCTCTCTAGCTCCCTAAACACCCTCTCTATCCCAGGCCAGCCAAAGCCCGAGGAAGGACAGCGAGAGGCTAGTGAGAGGTGTGACCAGAGAGAGTGGAGTCTCCAGCTTGAGCCCCCACGGCCCTGCCCCGGGATGGAGGCCGGGGGGGCGGTGGCTCCCGGCCTCCAGTCCGAGGGGGCGGATACTGACCCGAGGACGCCGAGGCCGAGCCCAGCAGCACCGCACAGAGCAGCAGCGTCAGCCCAACTCGGACCCGCATCCTGCTCCCGCGGCCGCTGCCACCCCCTGGAGCTGTCGCTTTCGCCTCTGCCACCACCGACTCAGCTACCGCCGCCGCCTCGCCGCAGCTCTTCCTGCTCTGGGCTCCTTCCTCCGCCCCTTCCCAGGCCTCCCTGCCCTAGAGCGGAGCCAATCCCCGCCCGCCGCCTCGGGCTCTGTGCCCAATCGCTGCAGTCTTCCCTCCCACCTTATTGCCCCGCCCCCGGGGTCATACATTGACCAATAATTTTGCAAGATTCTCACACCGACTTTCCTGGTTGGACCACGGCCTCACGACATGGCCCCAGCTAATTGGCAGATCCTGGGTTCAACCATCCCGGAATCAGGGCGTGAGTCCAGGGCCGGGAAGAAAAGAAAGGCACCCAGGACTACAATTCCCACAATACATTTCATGGGCTTCTTTCGAAGTGTGCTCTCGGAAAACGTATCCCATTGTGGAGCAAGATTTAAAAGTGCAGGTGGGTGTTGAAATTAAGAGAACTTACTGAGTAACATCTGGGCTAGACGTTAGCTCAAGGCCGCGAGCCCACAGGGTGTTTTGTTTGTTTGTGTTTTTGAGCCAGCATATATAACAAGAAACACACGTTATGAGGTTAAGCGTTTGTAATGTGTTAAGCTGTTCTTCCTCTTTGTTTTATTTAGAAAATTTGAATTGGACACATCTGAGAGTTAACTTAGGAAAAGTACAACGGCTAGACCGAGTTCGAAGTATTTTGTTGAACTTAGATAAAACAGTGCCATATATAGGGAAACCGGGATGGAACTCACTATCCCTCTTTCCCTGACAAAACAAATGGAAAGAAACCCCATTCAACGCAGATCATTTCAATGTTAGTATTCATTTTTAGGAGGGCCACCAGGTAATAATCATCTGGAAAACGTGCTAACAAGCCTTTACAAAAAGCCTTTCAAACCCTTGTCCTTATCCCTCTCTTTTTTGTGAGTTACACTGTTGTCTTCCTCCTGAGTTCAGGAGGCTGGAGTGGTGTATTTGGAGACAAAGGTGAGGGTGATCGCATTGCAGACGATGAAATAGTCTTGTATCAAGTACCAACTCCAGGCATGTTCCCACTGGGTAGCAGGGCAGTGGCTTGTGTTCCTGCCCATTCATCAAATTGTGTCATTCTGTTTTCCCTAGCATCCACCCACCATCAGCTTGGTCCTGGAACTGAGTTGAACTCAGACCTCAGCTCCCTTGAGGTCAGGTTTCTGGACAAGTCCACCCTAGCCAAATATCTTAATACCTCCAGGCATTTTTTTTCAATTATTTATTATTTTATTTTTATTTTTTAAAAGATTTTATTTATTTATTTATTTGACAGGTAGAGATCACAAGTAGGCAGAGAGAGAGAGAGAGAGAAGCAGGCTCCCCGCTGAGCAGAGAATCCGTTGTGGGACTCCATCCCAGGACCCCGAGATCATGACCTGAGCCGAAGGCATCGGCTTAACCCACTGAGCCACCCAGGCGCCCTATTTTTTATTTTTATTTTATTATTATTTTTTTATTTGACAGACAGAGATCACAAGTAGGCAGAGAGGCAGGTAGATAGAGAGAGGGGGAAGCAGGCTTCCTGCTGAGCAGAGAGCCCGATGTGGGGCTTGATCCCAGAACCCTGGGATCATGACCTGAGCCGAAGGCAGAGGCCCTAAACTACTGAGCCACCGAGGCGCCCTTCCATTTTTTTTTTTTTTTTAATAAAAATCCTCTTTTCCAGGATAAGGATAAAAAACTGTTAAACCAGACCCCCCCCCCAAAAAAAACCCCGAAAATACTAACTGCTGTTCCACATTCACATCAGAGGAGATGAAGGAAATTATTGTCCTGTTATTCTCCTGCTACCTCCTTGGCACTGATCTCTGTTTCTGTTACTAACAATGTTTCCTCAGAGTTCCTCTGATTTTAAATCATAGAGTAAATTCTGGTATATTTTCCTCCCTTTTTCATCTTATCAATCATCACATCCTAACAATTTGAGCTATGTAATTACTGTTTTATTATTATTTTTTAAAGATTTTGTTTTTTAAGCAATCTCTACACCCAACATGGGCTCAAATCCACAACCCCGAGATTAAGAGCTGCATGTTCGGGGCACCTGGATGGCTCATTAGTTAAGTGTCTGCCTTGGGCTTAGATCATGATCATGGGGTCCTGGGATGGAGCCTCAAGTCAGGCTCTCTACTCAGCGGGGAGTCTGTTTCTCCCTCTCCCTCTGCCACTCCTGCTTATATTCTCTTTCTCTGTCAAATAAGTAGATAAAATCTTAACAAAGAAAAAGAAAAAAAAAAAAAAGAGTTACATGCTCTACTGGCTGAGCCAGCCAGCTGCCCTTGTCATTGTGACCATTTTTGTCTTTTTCACTGAAAACTTCCCTACTGGGGGTCTCACTTTCCCTTACCTGCCTGGTGCACCTGAGTTCTAGCAATATTCACCAACATCACTCTCTTTTCACTTTCAAGGCAACCACATAGAGCCAGATTAATTTTGCTTTTAAAAGTAAATTTCAATTCAATTCAAATTAAATTAAAATTCCTATTTAAAATTTTTCAATGACTGCCTTTGTCATAGAATCAAAAAATGTTTGAACCCCTACCGACAAGACAGGAACTTGGGCTGGCAGTTATATACTTTCTTGGGGAAATTTCTGCCTTCCATAAGAGAAGCAGTTATGATCTGATTGATAGACTAGGGAATGTTCACTGCTTGGGACTTAGCTTCCATTTTCATCCTTTTCTTTCCCAAGTGATTCTTAAATTTAAGGCCCCATGCTAAGTGCTACATGAACACATTTCTGATTTCCACGTGAACAAACTCTTGTCATAGGCTCCTTTACCCTCTCCCCACTGCCCTTGCTTCTTTTGAACCACAACCATGGCATCCTTCCCACTTTCACTTGTGTTTCATCTTGGCTCAGGCTCTTCTCTGACCAGGCCGGTTCTCATTACACGTTATTTCTTTAAGTATTTACAGGACATTCGCAAACTTGCCTTTTAAAATTATTTATTTATTTATTTGACAGATTGAGAGAGAGAGAGATCACAAGTAGGCATAGAGGCAGGCAGAGGGGGGAGGGAAGCAGGCTCCCTGCTGAGCAGAGAGCCTGATGTGGGGCTCAATCCCAGGACCCTAGGATCATGACCTGAGCTCAAAGCAGAGGCTTTAACCCACTGAGCCACCCAGGTGCCCCCAAACTTCCCTTTTAGGTGGGATGCAAACTTTTAGTGGCCAGAGACGATTATATAATTCAATATACAGGTATATAGCATTGGACTTGCTATCTATTAGCACTAGATAATTTTTGGCATTTGATAGATATGCCTTACTTATGAAGTATTTTAATAATAAGATTTTGAAAGTACTTGCTATCTGTTATAAGTTTAGTCCTTTTTTTAAAAAGAAATTTATTTATTGAGAGAGAGAGAGAACAGAGGAAGGAGGGAGAGGGAGAATCACAAGCAGACTCTCTGCTGAGCATGAAGCCCAATGTGGAGCTTGATCTCATGATTCTGAGATCACAACCTGAGGAAAAATCAAGAGTCAGATGCTTAGGGGCACCTGGGTGGCTCAGTCTCTTGGATGTCTGCCTTCAGCTCAGGTCATGATCGTGGGGTCCGGGGATTGAGCCCTGCATAGGGCTCCTTGCTCCACGGGGAGCCTGCTTCTCCCTCTGCCTGTTGCTCCTCCTGCTTTTGCTCTCTGCCCCACTCTGTCCAATAAATAAATAAAATCTTAAAAAAAAAAAAAGACACTTAACCGCCTGGGCCACCCAGGTACCCCAAGTTATAAGTTTAATCTTAAGATATTTTATAGGGAAATATTAAGGAACATTTGCATCCCTAGTATACAGGAAATTTACTTCACTCTTCTGTGCCTCTGTAAAATAAGTATATTAATAATATTCTTTTCACCAGGTGTGTTCTGAGGTTCTTATTGCAGAAGAGAGACGGAAGAAAAAAGTACTTCTTTAATTATAGAATGTTCTACAAATATTATTTCTTATTGATTGCTTGGTTGAAGCAAAGACGGAAATCAAAATAGTAGTTTGTATAGAGACTAATAGAATTAGTTTTATTCCCTTAATATGAAAAGGTTTTAGAGCTGCTAGAGTTATTGTCTTTAACCAACAATGAGTAATTGATATCTTATGAGAATATTCATAGGACCTTAACTTTTTGGGGAAATTCCAAGTCTCCAAAGCTGGTCTAGAACATGGTGTGGGAAAACCAGATTTATTTTTTCAGCCTGCTAGGTTGCATGATGATTAAATAGTGAAAAGGTTGTGAGTTCTGCATGGCCTTATCTAGTCCAGGCGTACATTCCTCATGATTTCCTGCCAACATTCCCAGTTCAACTTCTGTACTCACTGTACTTGTACAAAATGTTAATATTATTTATTAATTCATAGGCTTCTTTAATATTTGCTCAGCTGTCTGTATTCTGTTTAACTTGTCCATATCAGTGTTCTGGGTCACTGTCATAGACTTCCAAGTTGCAGAAAACCTGTTTGCTCTGCATTACAGCACAGCATAGGCCTCCATGGAAGTAGATTATAAGCGCTTCTTCATGCAGATGACACTGAGGTGACCTTATTCCATTGACAGGAATCAAGCAACCAGCACATACTGAGAACCTCCTGAATAAGTTAAGGACATAAATCCAGTTTGCTTTTTGCTTAAGGATGGTAAGACAACCCCCAGAGCCTTTTCCTGAGAATGCAGTGATTGTCACTAACTCTAGTCAAGTATATCCTTTCCTGTGCTATTCTTAGGCATCTATTTGGTTGGCCATGTGCACAGGCTGTCAGCACTTGTACCAATGTATCTGCCAGGGCAGGATTAAAGATAGACAAGGAGCAGGGTATTTCCCCCTTTAGGACTTAGAGAAGAATGTACTTTCTTTGATATAGATGAGGTACATTAAAGGACTTACTTTTGTGTTTATATCTCACAGATAAATGAAAATTGAAAGCCTTGCACTGTATCGTGAGATAGAACCTGGCATCTCTTCATGCATATTCTCTGCTCCTTGAGGAAATGGACCATGGCTTTATACTTCATTGTATTAAGTATAATTCCAGGATTGTAAAGAGCAGGTATATAATTAGTAATCAAATAAGCTTTGAATGTATATGTAACTTTGCATAATTATAATTGTCAGAAGGGTCAGAGTACAGATCCCAACTGCAGAGCACAGGATTCAAAATACCTAAGCTTGGAAGCTGGTGGAATAGGTGTGGTATATGTGTTCAGGCTCTACCAAGTTTCATTGGTAGAAATGACATTTACTTTGGAGGTGTATATCCTTTCTAAACAGAGTGGACTCATGCTAGGTAAAAGGAAAGGCCAGGATACATTTATATCATGAATAAATGGACAGGTTTAATTTTGGTTTAATTTTTTCATAGATTTGTTAACTGCCACTTCTGGAGAAAGACTGGATTAAAACTGGATTTCAGTAAGAACTTAAGTGAACCTTGTAAGGTGGAGATAAACAGTTTAGAGCTGCCATTAAATTCAGAATATTTAACTCTTGAGTTGATGGCAATGTATTCAATCAGTGAATGTTGGGTTAAGAACAGTACAGTCTGGGGCACCTGGGTGGCTCAGTTAGTTAAGTGTCTGCCTTCAGCTCAGATCATGATCCCAGGTCTGGGATCAAGCCCCACATTGGGTTCCCTGCTCAGTGGGGAGCCTGCTTCTCCCTTTCCCTCTGACTCTGCTCTGTCTACTTGTATGTTCTCTCTCTCTCTCTCTCTCTCTCTGTGTGTCAAATAAATAAATTAAAAAAAAAAAAGAACATTATAATCATAGATTAGCCATTACTTTTTTCGTCCTTCAACAAATATTTTCTGGGCACTGTTAATGCCTTTCAGCCAAAGGCCACCAAGGACACACCTCTAGTTGAACACATTAGGTTTTGTACTTTCTGCAAGGAGGAAGAACACCACATTTCATGTCTCAGGAAGGGAGCTTTAGAAAGAACCGAGTGTAGAATTTGGACTTTTGGTTGGTAATTGGTGGGAGGATCCAGGGAAGCTGGGTTTGCTTTAGATTGGATGCTCTTAGAAGTACCCCTAATTTCCGTGATTTCATAGAAATCCATCAGTAAACCTCACCTCAAAGGAAAGGAGACTACAATGAAGATAAAGCTATCATTGGTGAAGAAACAGTAGCTACTTATTTTTTTTTATTTTTTAAAAGATTTTATTTATTTATTTGACAGAGATCACAAGTAGGCAGAGAGGCAGACAGAGAGAGAGGAGGAAACAGGCTCCCTGCTGAGCAGAGAGCCCCATACATGGCTCGATCCCAGGACCCTGGGATCATGACCTGAGCTGAAGGCAGAGGCTTTAACCCACTGAGCCACCCAGGTACCCCAGTAGCTACTTATTATAGCCAAGAGAGGAAGTGTTTGGTATTTCGTGAGTGGCACAGGGCACTTGTTTCTATTTGTGCTTAAATAAAATTGTGAAATGGTTTGCTTGGTCTCAGAGTAACCTGTATGTGGTTGGTATTCTGAGATTATTTAAGTCCATGAGGGGAATCACATGGCCTGGTTATGAGTGCCAAACCACTCCTGACTGTCAGGGGCTACTCTTTGTTTTTCTGTCTCCACAAACAACTGGGAGGCACACCAGGTTCTTGGTGCTGGGGATTCAGCAATCGATAAAACAGACAAAAATCATAGAGTATTCATTCTAGCCAGGGGAGAAAGAGAATAAAATAAATAAGTAAATGATAATTTATTGGAAAGTGACAAGTACTAGAGAGAAAAAAACTATCAAGGAAGGGGAATAGGGTAATGGGGGGTAAGTGGGGACCACCATTTCAGTTTAAAGCAGGGAGGTCAGGGAAGGCTTTGCTGTAGAGCTTATATTTGAGCAGAGACTTACAGTGATGAGGAATGAGCTGTGAAGATGTGGGAGTGGATCTAGTCTTTGTGACAGGTGTAGGGTGATATCTCTTTGGGGTTTTGATTTGCATAATATCTGAAAGAAATATAACACTGTAGGTTACTTACACTTCCATTAAAAAATAAAAAAATGTGGGTGTGAAGAGCCTTCCAGGAATAACGAGCCACCCCAGTGAAGGTTCCAAGGCAAGAGCAGGTCTGTTATGCTCCAGGAACAGCAAGGAGCCCTGTGGATGCTGAAGTGAGGGAGGAGATGACGGGAGAGAGGGAACAGGGCATGTTGGAGAAGTATCTGGGGCCAGATGGTTTAGGGAATTTTAGGTTAATATTTAGGGGTAGTCAGAATGCTACTTCTTATGACTCTGAGACTGACTATCTTGAAGTGTGGCTTAGATAATTGCCCAGAGCCTTCCCTTCGCCTGCATGAGAATGAGCAAATAATTGCATAAACCTCTTTATTAATCATTTGGATATAATGATAAAGTAACCAGTTAAAACAATTTTACTCATAAGTTTGATTCAGTGGAATTTCACACCACTGGTTAGAAATTCAGATGGTTAAGTGCAAAGTTGAGTCAGTATGATCCTAAGAGAAGGATTCTCAAAATATTCAAACAATATTATCGTGAATACAAGTCACTTGGAAGTAAGTTTGATGCAAACATTTTGATGCAAAATGGGGGTGTTGATAATTTCCTATTCCTGAATAGACTCCCATCTATGCCATGTTGATTTCACATAAATCCAACTTGAAGGGCTGCATTGACAAAAAAGAAATATATGTGTTATATATCTGTTAATATATGCATTAATAAGTACATATTTCATATATGCATGAAAAGTTTGTGTATATACTGGCACACATGAATTAAAACAACTGAGAAAATTTGTATGCACGATGCTTCTTTATCCCTACATGTGTTAGTATTTCCTGAAAACAAGGAATTCTCTAACTTAGACACAGAACTGTTATCAAAGTTAGAAAGTTAACACTGATTCAATACTGTCATCTACAGAGTTTATTCATATTATGCCAATTTGCCACAATGATGTCCTTTTCCATAGTAGAAAATCCAAGACCATCGGGTCCATACAGTCTGTCCCATCTCATTAGCGTCCTTTAATTTGGAATAGTTCCTGAAGGTGTGTGTGTGTTTGTGTTTCCAGACTTCTTGATACCAATAATTTTTAAGTGTATCAACAAGTTATTTCATAGAATGTACCCTAATGTCAGTTTGTGTCATGATTAGTTTTGGGTTTTGCACATATGGTGAGACCATCACAGAAATGATGCTGAATTCTTCTAAGGGGATTATGTCAGGAGCCAAATGCTATTGGTTATTCCAAATCCTGGTGATGATAATGTTGGTCAGTTGGCTAAAGAAGAGTTTCCACTGCATTGACTTTTGTAATTAAAATGTTAATTATGTTAATTAATATATGTTAATATAATAATTATATGAAAAAGGTACTGTGAGATTATGTAAATATCTCATTATTCCTTAAACATTCACCCACTAGTTTTACCATGTATATTCATGATTCTTGCCTGAATCAGTAATTACTATGACAGCTGCCAATTGGTGATTTTCTAATTCTTATCATTCCTTCTACGTTTATTAATTAGCTTTCTAATGCAGGCAGAGCTTTTTCTTATTTATTTACACATTTAATTGATTAATTTACATTGTTATAGACTCAGGTGTTCTTTACTCGATAGCTTATAAAAATCCTTACTATCATTATTATTTTGATGCTCAGATTATCTCAGATTTAGCCAGGGGGGGGTGCCTTTTCAAACTGACTCCTATATCTTTTTGAGCACATCCTTACACTTTTGTACTATGTATATTTTTTCTACTTTCCCTGATCTGGTCCTGAATCAGCCATTTCTCCAAGTAGGTCTGCTTTCTTTCAGTGGAGAATGGTGTTTGTATTCCAGGAGTACTCATTACTACTGAGGTGTTAATGTTTCTGAAATCTCTTAGGAGCTAGGAAATGTGTGTGTGTGTATGTATATGTGTGCATATGTTTGTATATGTATATGAATGCATACACATTCATAATACACATATACATAACTATACACATCTATACCCATTTCAAAATCTAATTATCTCTTTCTGTATATCAAAATCACTGAGAAAAGGAATGAATGAGCCACAGAGAAAATAGGAGAAAATATTTGCAATCCCTATATTTTAAAGGGAACTTATGTCCAAAATTTATGATGAACTCAATAATAAACACATAATGTGTTATTTAAAACTATGCAGGCTATCAGTGTAGACATAAAATAAAGATGAATTAAGTAACATGAATAACATAAATATGATTTATTATATAAGTATATTGATGTAATAAATAGAAATATAAAAACTATACTATATGAATACGATGAAACACAATAATAAAAATACCAAAAAAATGGAAAAGATTTGAACCTACCCTTGCAAGGAAATAGGTAAGTAGAAAATAAGCACATGAAAAGGTGTTCAACATCTTTAGTCACCAAGAAACTGTAAATTAAAATCACAACAAAATGTCCCTTACTCCCGCCATAATGGCTAAACTTTGACAGATGTTGGTGAGGATGTAGAGCAGTTGGTAGGGCTATAAAAGGGTATAACTGCTGAATAAAATTCTTAGCCATAGTTCTTATACATGTAAACACTTACCTACCCTCTAACCTAATGTTCTCATTCTTAAGTACTTGCTCAGGAGAGAGCATGAAATCATGTGTACACAAAATGTCTTCTGTTATAACGTTCACAGTGACTAAATTCAAAATAGGGAAGATCTGAGAAAAACTTGAAGTGTTCACCTTGCGGTGAATGGATAAACAAACAATGGAGTACCACTTGGCCACAAAAAGGAAAGAGTTATTGATATGTGCATATCATGCATGATTCTCCAAAACATTATGCTGAGTGAAAGAAACCAGACCCCAAAGAGTACGTCTCTTATGATTCCATTCCATGGAGCTCAAGGACAGTTGCAACTAACCTGTAGTGATAGCATTCAGACTAGCAGTTGCTTGGGGGTGAGAGTGGGAAGGGGAAAATTGACTGGAAAGGGGCAGGAGGGAACTTTTGGGTAATGGAATTCTTCTATAGTCCAATTAGCATGTGCATCACATGTGTGACAGATACATACCTGTCCAAACTCATAAGAAACATGCCCTCAAGATCCATGCATTTTCGTGTCTGTAAATGATACCTTGTGGCAGGCAGAATAATGTCCCCCCCACCCCTGCATCGGTCTTGAGATGGGAAGATTCTCATCTCATTATTCTCTGGCGTTATCCAAAGGAGTCCTAGATGTAATCATACGAATTCTTGCAAGAGGGAGGCAGGAAGGTCAAAGTGAGAAAGAGAAGATTTGATGATGGAGGCAGGGCTTGGAGGGATGCTGTTACTAAAAGGGTACCATGAGCCAATGAAGACAGCCTCTAGAAGCTAGGAACCGCAAAGAATGGGTTCTCCCCTGGAGCCTCCAGGAGGAACACAGCCCTGCCAACTTCTTAATTTTAGTCCTGTAAGGTCCATTTTTGGACTTCTGACATTCAAACTATAAGATGATACATTTGTGTGGTTTTAAGCCACTAAGTTTGTAATAAGCAGCGATAGGAAACTAAGATAGATCAGCATAATATACTTCATTTTATTGGATTTCACAGGTATTGCGTTTTTTACAAGGTGAAGGCTTATGGCAATCCAGCATGGATCAAGTTTATTGGCACCATTTTCCCAACAGCATTTGCTCACTTTGGTTCTCTGTGTCACATTTTAGTAATTCTCAGAATATTTCAAACTTTCTCATTGTGCAATCACAATGTGCCTCTTGTATTTGTTACAGTGGTCTCTGATAAGTGACCACGGCTCACCGAACCTCAGGTCTTGTTGGCATCTTTAACAAGAAAAGATTTTAAAATTAAGGTTTGTACATTTTTTTCCACAACATATGCCATTGCACCCTTAGTAGATTACAGTACAGTGTAAACAGTATTTATAGGCACTGCGAAACCACTTTATTGTAGTGTTTGCTTTATTGTGATATTCCCTTCATTGCAGCGTTTTGGAACCAAAACAACAATATGCCTGGACTTCATTTTTGAAAAAAAGTATTTAAAAATGCACTTAAGTGAGCAGTCCCATGTGCTACAAAAATAATAAGCAAACAATTAAAAAATGTTTAAAAAAAAAAACAATAAAGGCCGTGTGGTGGAACAGACCTGGGCCCTACTGTGGATTGTGCCCTTTGCCTATTTAGCGGTTCAGCAGCCATAGAAACGTTGGCAAGTTCTGTAACATCCCTGAGGCTCAGTTTCTTAATCTACAAAATCAGGATTGTTAAACCTGGCTCACCTCTCAGAATTGTCACGAAGATTAAAAGCAACAAAGTAAGAAAGCAGTCTACCAACAAAAGATGGCACGGTAAAATCTCGTTATGATGCTGGACTTTTACCCAGCATCCGTGCATACATGACCGCGTTGGTAGGGCAGCTTGAATACTGCCCCTCTTGTGAAAGATAACTCCAGGAGAGGGGTGGAGGTCATCTGCAGAGCTTATCAGACTGTCCTTGTTCATTATTTTAAAAATAACTTTATTCTGAAATAGTCTAAGACTCAGAAGTTGCAAAAATTTGTTCCTGTTCTTTTCAAAGAGTTGGTATCCTAGTTCTTTCTCTTTATTGCACTCTGCCTGGTGTTCTGGAAATTTCTTCGATTTACTGAGTTCTAATGGTAAGAACTCAGCTCTGGGTGCACTCACAAGGTGCCTAGTACTGTGTCAGCACTTCATATATGTCCTTGTCATGTAAGCCTCGATCAGTAATAACACAAAGGAGATGCTTTAGTTATTCCTATTTCTGTGGGCGAAGAAACCAAGGCATAGACGTGTTCAGAAAGTTGCCCCGGTCTGCAGCTCAGAACGCGGGTCCAGTATTTCAGCCTGGCACCTGACTTCAGGGCCAAGCACAGAAGTGTAGGAGGAAGTCCATCCTTGCATCACAGAATAACTCAGAGACATTTCTATTATTTCAAACAATGTGCATGCAAGGGAAAGTGCATGCGTACACCCGAGGGAGGGATTCTTACGCTGAGTCAGGAAATAAAGGCAAAACAGGATTTATGACAAAGAAAGAGAAGGGAAAAAGAAGCTGAAGACTGGAAACGGTGAGCATTTTTAGCAATTTTTTTTTAAACACTGATTAGCGGGGCGCCTGGGTGGCTCG